ATTTTCTAATTTTTAATAACAAATATTATAATATCACCCTCCACCAAATTGTCCGCTTTCTCCGGTTACATATTGTTGTCAGCTTCACAGCTTTATAACACTTATAAAAAATGTTTCGTTCTCCTCTCCTACCGATGTGAGATCAACCTCGTGAGGCTGACGACAATACGTAACGAGCCAAAGATATTAAAATTATAAATAATAAAATGTATAGATTATATTTTAATTTTTTTAATTTAAAAATCGAAAGATCTATTATAAACTCTATTTTTCAGAGTTCTAATTTATTTTTTATACCAAATTTAAGCATAGCTCAGCTCGTTAAAATATTGATGATGTCCCACATATATATATTTTACTGTTTCATAACAATTCTTAAGAGTAGTTATTGTCGATTTTTTTTTGAAGTGGCTCTGATGTATATTACCGTGTCAAATCCTAGGCTCATATTGGTTGACAAAATAATAGCAACGACCCGAATAGTAATTTTTTGAAAAGTTCGGGTCAAAGTAGAGACTTTAAAAAATACAAGGATAAAATAGTTATTTTTTTTTAATAGAATATATTTAAAAGTGGAGATAAAATGAGAATTTTCAAAATTATTAAAAATATATTTTTTAAAATCTAAAAGGAATAAGAAGGGAAGGAAGATGAGTTAAGATTCTTATTCTTTTCTTAAAAGGTTAGGTTTTCCAATGAAGAATCTATATTTAATAACTGCACATGAAGCTGAAAACCCAATCAAAGAATGACACGTCAATGTTGGATTTTATTCTTTTCTTAGGGTTTATATTTACTTTTCTTATTCCTTAAATGTTAAGTCCATTTAAAAAAATAATAATAAAAATAAAAATCCTTTTTAGTAACTATTTTACTAACCCTAAATAGCATTGACATTTGGAGTTTAAATCCCAAAAACATATATATACTTTGTTGCTTAAAATCGAGCCGAACTACGAACATCAGTTTTAGCTTAAAATCGAGCCGAACCAAGAATATCAGTGGTAGCTTGAAAGCAAGCTGAGCTAAGAACATTAGTTTTAGCTTAAAATCGAGTCGAACCAAGAACATCAGTGGTAGCTTAAAAGCGAGTTGAAACCAAGAACATTAGTGGTAGCTTAAAACCGAGTCAAACCAAGAACATCAATTTCCGCTCGCTTAAAATCGAACTGAACCAAAAACATCACTTTAGCTTAAAATCGAGCCAAAATAAGAACATTAGTGGTAGCTTAAAACTAAACTGAACCAAGAACATCAGTTTTAGCTTAAAACTGAGCCCAAAACAAGAATATCAGTTTTAGCTTAAAACCGAGCTGAACCAAAAACATCTGTTTTAACTTAAAATCGAGCCAAAGCAAGAACATCATTTTTAACTTAAAATCGAGCCGAACCAACTCGCTCGTCTCCTGCAATGATTGCAGAAACTTTCTGGGAAATACTTGTAATGGAAGAATCAATGTTCAAACAAGGCTGCTCAAAAGGGATTACACAGTCAAATACTCAACTCGTTTATTAAAAGGCATATGCCATTTTCAAAGGGATCAGATCAAGAGACCTTTCAACTTTACAACATTTTATAAATAAAAAGGAAAAAGCTTCAAGTTCTCATATACATTCATTGAAAATGTGGCTCTCTACGCAACTAAAAAAAGTTTGACTTCCCACGTCGCTTTCGATTGCGTTCTTGAGCTCCATATACGCTCGGGGCGGATCAACAGAAGCCACAGACTCCCTGGATCGCCCAAAATAATTTCTCCACGAATCAAGAGATCGGAGTAATGATTATTGAGAGTTCATCGATTCGAATCGTTTGGGTTTCCCTAAGAACATCGACAGCTTTACCAACATTCTCTAATAGTCGTTGTCGGAATCTATGAACTCTTGTTCTTCTCGAGTGGCCGCGGCCCTAGCAATCTTATATCAATGGAGGCTCCATGAACTTGAGAGGATTGAATTACTGCATCATATATCTTAGAAGAAAGATTGAGACCCTCATCCTTAGCACTCAGGTATAACTCATAAGCCAGCCTTGGTTTACCTTCCTTTGCAAGGGCCTCAACGAGCAACTCGTAACTTACCTCATCCGGAGAGATATTTCGAGCTTTCATGCGGTGAAACCACTCGTAAGCTACCGTGCTCATCCCGTTACGGACACATCCCGTAATTATTGCGTTGTATGTGACGACTGTTGGCTCAATGCCTGATGTAACCATATCATTGAGAGTGACTTCAACCATATTAAACTTTCCTTGGCCAGTGAAAATCGAAGTCATGGTTGTATAGGCATAGATGTTCGGCTCCACCCCAACTTTAATCATATGATCCCAGACGCTACGTGCTTCGTCGTAGAGCTTTCCCTTTTCGAGAGCGCTTAGTAATGCCCCATATGAAAGGACAGTCGGTTTTTCACCTTTTTCGACCATTCTCCTAAAGATATCTATGGCTGCCGACGTTTCTGCAGCTCTGGAACAGGCAACAAGAACGGCATTCCATTCCCGAATTCCAGGTTTAAGACCTTTCTCTTCCATTTTGTCGAGTAACCTAACGCCCCATCTCCAAATTCCTCGTTTCTTCGCAGCTGTGAGAAGAACATTGAAGTGAGAAACAATTAGTTCATTTGACAAGTTATTTGGTTTCGGTCCTTTCTCCAACAAATCTTCATAAATCTCCAATGCTGCCCACCATTTCTTAGCTTTCCCCGTCAACCAAATCACATGATTACAAACAGATAAGCTTATACTACATTGCTTTTCTCTTATCCTGTAGTACAATTCTTTCGCTACATTATGGTGTTCGGCACACGTACAAGCCCAAATAAGTCGTTCTTCTTCAACACGATCAAGCGACAATCCCGCTTTATCCATTTCCATTAGAAGTTGCAACACCTTCGTGTTTGCGGGGTCGTCCTTCACAAGCCAAATCCTCATTACTTGGTAGCAAACACGTCTGGTAAACTTTTCGAGCTTCAAGAACTTATCAGCCCAATCTACATTATCATCTTTCACTAACTCGCCATTACGATATCTTTCTCTCAACTCAATCATAAACTTTAAAGCGCCATTCCCATCATTCATCCTTCGGTATGCTTGTAACGCTGTAGAGTAGGACACAGGACACGGAGTTAGGCCTTTCCTCGGCATCTCTTCGAGAATGCCAAGAGCTTTTATAGCTAGTCCTTGTTCCAAGTAAATGGACATAATCGTATTGTACGTAACAACATTTGAAACGATTCCTTCCTGTGCCATATCAGTCAAGACATCTTCCATTTTCGAAAACTCTCCGGATTGCTTAACTGCACCGAGAAGACTGTTGTATATGAACAAATTCGGCGCAATACGACCATTAGTTTCAATCTTCTTTTTCTTAAGCCATTCAACAAGAGCCACTGCACATTCCAACCTTCTGTTCCTCCCAAAACCTCTAATAATGGATGAGAACACTTGAAGAGGCAATACGCCGACATCCTTGAGAAGCTCCTCAACATCATCCGCCGTTCGAGCAAGCTGCAACCGACGTGCTAGTGCACGAACATCGACCCTAACATCTCCCTCTCCCTCCATTCCTTCCTCGTCTTTAAAATTTCCTCTTCCATGACTATTTTCACTATTAACATTGCCAGGATCATATACATCCCAATCTAAACTACTCTCAGGCAAATCATCTCTAGAATTTGATTCAACCCTAGCAATTTCATCATCAATCGTTGGTTGTTCAACAGCCCAAGCAAATAAAAACCAAGCCCCAAGGGAATTCCTCTTCGGCTTCATTAACGGAGCAACTCTAAGCTTAGAACAGCCATGGCGGAACTCACGGATACATTCAAATCTCGAAGTCTCGCAACAAAATCCACTTCTCAAAACACTAAAATTAAAGGAAATCAAATACAAATTCCCATTTCCATAACAACTATCAGAAAACCCAACACGATTTATTCTTTTCCATGAACTATGAACTACAGAATAAGAACCTAATTCAACGCCGGAGCTACTAATTGGACACCAATTACTATGAACATGCATTGTCTATAGAGATCAACGATAAAAAAAAAAAAAAGATAAACCCAGAATTTGAACGCCAATGAATTTCAGAGTCTTATGGATGATTTCCCATTACAATCCGAAGTTGAAAAGAGAAATGAAGAACAGAATTACCTTAAGAGATGTCCGTCAATGGATGTACTCCATCTTTTGAACTGGCAATGAGAGGATTGAAGAGAAAAATTGATACGCGTGCGGATTTGTTGAATGGGTTTTTGGATAATATGGATTTTGTTTGTCTTCTCGCAGTCACTCGATTGGAAGTGAGGGTCAAATTTCCAAATTCACAGCCACCTTATTTTAAGGTGAATTTTATTGTTTAAGTTAAAATCAATAATACATTTTTTTTTTTAATTCAATAATATTCTTTAAACTATATATATAAAAAAAAAACTTAGGGATGGTTTCAAAAATAAAACTTTAAAAATTGTTTAAAAAATATATATATTTTTTAAATAGCTAAATTAATAAAAATACCGTTTCAATAATACTCTTAATTTTTTTTAAAAATCTTCAAAAATACTTAATTTTTTTTATGAGGTAGAGAAAAGATAAAAAAAGGTAATTTTTTATAAATACCATTCAATATTACAAAATTATTTATTTATTTACTGACAAAGTAATATATATATATATATATATATATATATTAAATATTAAAAAAAAAAGAAAAAAAGAAAAGAAAAGGTATATTGTTTAACAATAACAACAAAATTTAAATAAAGAAAAATATTATTTAAATAGATAATTATGATGGAATAATAAATGAGTAACGTAATATGTATTTTTCTGTTCAAAAATGAGATTTTTTGTATAAAAAAAAATTAAAATACTACAACGACAAAAATCATTTTTAATTATAATTTTTTTTTTCTTCCCGATAATTAGTTACACATTCTTCATTTTTTTATTGTCAATTATATGAATGAAAAAGAATTAAATGCTTATTTCGTTAAGCTAGCTTCAGAATGCAAAGAGTCCGGCGACGGCGACGGCACCACAGACGGCGGCGGAGGTGAGTTTCAGAGCAGAAGTGCCGCTGTCGGCATCACCGTCGGGTGAATCAGCCGGAGAATCAGAGATGGTGCCATCAGCCTCCGAAGGGCCATCAGCCTCCGAAGGGCCATCAGCCTCCGAAGGGCCATCAGCAACGGGGCTATCGGCGGCGTCGGGGGTGGGAGAGGGGGGAGAAGACGAATCGGAATCAGGCGAGGCAGCGGGGGAGCCGGAGTCGGCGGGAGACGCAGCTGGTGAGTCGGTGGCTGGAGAAGGAGAAACGGAAGGGGAGGAATCCGGGGAGCTGTCGGGCGAGTTGCTCGCCGGAGCCTCGGAGGGCGAAGTCGGAGCAGAGGCTGACGGGGATGGAGACGACTCAGATGAGGCCGCTGGAGCGTCCGCCGGAGTTTCCGCTGGAGTATCTGCCGGTGTATCTGCCGGAGTATCTGCCGGTGTACCTGCCGGAGTATCTGCCGGAGTATCCGCCGGAGTGTCCGCTGGAGTATCCGCTGGAGAGGAAGCCGGAGATGAAGATGGAGAAGACGCTTCGGAGTCAGAAGGCGCGGATTTCGGCGCGGGGGATTCCGATGGGGTGGCGGTGGGTGCCTCAGCAAAAGCTCCGGCGACGGCGGCGACGAAGATCAGAGCAAAAACAAGAACAAAAGACTGAGAAGCCATAGTAAAATTACTTGGAGAGGACAGTAATTTTCTATGGCAGTAATTTTCTCTGAGGTAGAGAAAAGGGAAGGATGAAGATGAAAATGGAGAGTGAGAGATTTATATAGAAGGTAAAAAAAAGAGGAGAGAGAAAGAAGAGAGGTAAAATGAATGGTGGGATTTGAAAGATATAAAATTAGAGTTTGACATAGTTTAATAAGGACTTTTACCAAATATCTATTAAAAGAAAATAACAAAATAGACTTTTGGGTAAGATTTTATTTATTTTTATTTTTTATGTTTTTAATGATTAAGGTAAATTATTTGGTTAAAAAAAAACAGGTTTTTTAAGGTTAAATTATTGTTGTTTCAAAATTATTTTGAAAATCATTTACAAAATCTACTTATTAACAATAATATCAAATTGTGTCGTGGTTTGGACTATCGTTGCAAGACAAATGTCTTGGGTGTCTTTCTTTGGGAATATATTTCTAAGGACGATATCGGATGACATGGGTGTATCGATATCACGCCTCATTCCTTGCGTCAGAGGTTGAAATATAGGATCGTGTTTCGATACACTATGCAAAAATGACTTTGCATGAACATGAGAGGGTTCATGTCCCAGTAGACATGGATGTGTTATAATTTATGTCCTAAAATCTTGTAATTAATTATTTAGTTTTTAAAAAAAAATTAAGAATATTACAATAATACGGTTAACATATAATAAGATACGTTCATAACCTAAAGAGTATATAATATATGAATAAAGTTAATTGTTTTGTCTTAATAATATTATTAATATAATCTACTTTATAATAAAATATTTATTTTTTTTTATAAATTTATTATTTAAGAAGATTAGTATTTGATGTCAAATTTACTTTTATTTTAAAATTCAAATAGACATTTTTTTTCCGTAAAATTTAATTACAATATAATTTTCTAAAAAATATTTACTAATAAGTATTTTTTAAATTTGGTAATTCATATAATTAAATAATCAAAAGAAATAAAAATGGCCGATGAAATTGATTATATAACCAACTTTAGAAAAACAATTAAGGAGCTACATTAACAACCGGAGAACAAATAAGGTATGACCCAACTGACAACTCGCGAACAAATAAGATATTTTTCATATTTTAAATTTAATATATTAAATATTAATTTGAACACTCAAATCAAATATATATTTTATATCTTTTACGTTTTATATATCAAAGATTTATTTGTAATTTTTGGTGATATAAAATTAATTAATTAAACTTTATTACTCATATTTGTTGGGCTAAAAAAGGACCATTACATTATTGCGGAAAAATTTATAAAATCACATCTATATTGGGTTTTGATCGGCTAGGCCAAGGGCAAAAATGTAAATTTCTTAAAATCTAGATATTTGTGTAATACGTGTCTTCAAATGATATATATATATATATCCTTAAAATTAATTTTAAATTTAAATATATATATCCTTAAAATTAATTTTAAATTTAAATATATATATCCTTAAAATTAATTTTAAATTTAAATATATATATCCTTAAAATTAATTTTAAATTTAAATTTTTATGATATTGGAGTTTGAATAAGGTATATATCCTCGGCTACGAAGTTAGAAGTTCAGAGATATTACAGAGCTCTGGTTGAAACAAACCGAACAACGATTTGAAAGTCGAGAAGACGATTGAGCAAACGGTGGGGAAGAAGTAGAAGGTCAAACAGACAGCCAAAAAGGGACAAACTTTGAAAGCATTTCAAAATGTTGTGTTAGGAGACCAGACATCACACAGATTGTGCAGAAGAAAAGTTTGAAAAAGACAGAAAGTCAAATCCCCACCTCCCATTTGCTGCCAATGCAGAGCCTTCTTCATATCATGCTGAGCTGCGCATGCTCCTTTTTTTTCTTGTTCTTCCCATCTTCCGAAAGCCACCATGTCTTTAGCTCCCAACACCTTTTCGGATTTACATAAACAATCGTTTGTCGTTGTTGTCGTCGTTGTCGTCGTTGTCATCATCAACCTTTGACTATGGCTTCTCTGTAATAATCATCCCTACATTTTGGATTCTTGTATTTGTCCCCCTACAATCAAATCATGCAAGATAATGAGTACTCATATTCGATATCGAAAGAACTGACACGATACATGGTACTTTGTTTCTTTGACTCGTGTGTTGTCAATATAGCCTCTATCATGTTGGTTGGTGTTAGTAGTAGCACTTTCATTTGTTACCGACACCTTTGGTCGTCTACGGTTGGTTCTTTTAGCTCCATGTCAAGGGAAGGTATTGGAAATCCTAAGGGCCGAATCTAAGGCTTTGATCATGGTTGGAGTTTCCTCCGACTTGAACACTCGTCGAGCCTGTTGGGTCTTCCTAGCCTATGACAATGGTAAATGAAAGGGTCAAATCTAAGGCATTGATCATGGTTGGAGCTTCCTCCAACTCGAACACTGGTCGAGCCTGTTGGGTCTTCCTAGCCTATGACAATGGTAAATGAAAGGGCCGAACCGAATCTAAGGCATTGATCATGGTTGGATCTTCCTCCGACTCGAACACTGGTCGAGCCTGTTGGGTCTTCCTAGCCTATGACAATGGTAAATGAAAGGGCCGAATCTAAGGCATTGATCATGGTTGGAGCTTCCTCCAACTCGAACACTCATCGAGCCTGTCGGGTCTTCCTAGCCTATGACAATGGTAAATGAAAGGGCTTCCTTATGGTTACGTTTATATATTGGGAACAAAGCTCAAACAAAGTTGTGGAAAGCTGATGCATCAAGTTTATATATTATAGGCTGTGACCAACCAAACTACACAGCAGCACCCAGCAGAGAATAAGTTATGAGAAATCAAAACTAAATGAACCTTTTCCCAGCAAATGCACACCCAATTCCCTGAATCTTTCAATCTATCTATCGTAAGAATTACCCGGTTCGTATTCTATCGAGCCGATCGACGCTTTTTCTTGCTCTTTCCAGCTGGTGATCGATGCTTTTCCGTGACTTTTCATGACAATCAACGCTCCAGCGAGACCTTTCCCCATGGTTAAAGGAGAGTCTAAACTTGTCTAACTTATCAGAGTGATTCTTCAGCTTCTCTGGTTGATCCATGCTCCGCCTCGGTTTTTCTCTCCTATCTGTGCTCTTCCTTGGAATCTCGAAAAACTCGGTGCTCTTTCGTGGCTGCTCATATTGGTCTGTACTCATTCTAGTACTGTATCGTTGAGAAGGCGGTTTCTCAACTGTTAATACAAACTTCTTTAGATGTCTGATATACTCAGGATAGAGCTCCAGATTACAGTGGTTTCCTCCTTTTAGCCACAATGGTTCATATTTTTCTTTACAAAGTTCCCAAAGTTGCTTGCCATGAGAGCAATCAACCACATCATCTGAAGTTCCCTGCAAAATGATGTAAAAATCCCTTAATCTTGATAATTTCCAGGATACTTTCAAACTAAGTGTAAAAAATGCTGGTCGATAGACTCGGTTAATTTTGTTGATGTTTTCAAGGCATACAATTCTAAAAACCGAACCAAAACTCGAGAGATGATACTTCCTCTTCTTCTACTTATAGCAGTAGAGCAGACTGACAATGTGAGATCTCATATCGGTTGGAGAGGGAAACAAAACATTCTTTATAAGGGTGTAGAAACCTCTCCTTAGTAGACGCATTTTAAAACCTTGAGGGAAAGCCAGGAAGAGAAAGCCCAAAGAGGACAATATCTGCTAGCGGTGGGCTTGGGCTGTTACAGACAATATTACCGAACTCCTAATGACACTAAGGAAGATAGAAAGAACCAAAATACTTGACACATTCAAAACTGTGTCGCATCTTCCCTCAAGAGAAAATCCATAGAGGACAATGTCTACTAGCGGTGGGCTTGGGCTGTTACAGACAATATCACCGAACTCCTAATGACACTAAGGAAGATAGAAAGAACCAAAATACTTGACACATTCAAAACTGTGTCGCATCTTCCCTCAAGAGAAAATCCATAGAGGACAATGTCTACTAGCGGTGGGCTTGGGCTGTTACAGACAATATCACCGAAGAGAAAATCCATAGAGGACAATGTCTACTAGCGGTGGGCTTGGGCTGTTACAGACAATATCACCGAACTCCTAATGACACTAAGGAAGATAGAAAGAACCAAAATACTTGACACATTCAAAACTGTCACACCTCCCCCTCAAGCGAAAACCCATTGAGGACAATGTCTACTAGCGGTGGGCTTGGGCTGTTACAGACAATATTACCGCACTCCTAATTATACTGAAGAAGATAGAAAGAACCAAAATACTCGACACATTCAAAGCTATGTTGCATTGATGCATAATCATATCCATAACCCATATGTTAAATAACAATGTACAAAACCATGAAGAGGAAATAGTTTGAAGACCATCCTTACATGAATGATGAGAATAGGGCAATTAACCTGAGAAACTTTGTCGATATTCTGCACGTAGACCGAAAAAACAAAGTCCATTTACTACACATGGCATGGATATGAAAACCAATAGATCAAAAACACAATCTTACCTTATAGATATCGAACCAGTAAGAGCGTTTCACAGGATACATGACTCTTAGGCCAGAAAGTATTGGACTGTGCAATACGGTAGCTCTTAGCCGAGGAAGTCGAGCTGCAAGATCCAAAGTCGGACCACTCCCAACAGATTGACCATATAGGATGATGTCTTCCTGCTTGGTTCCATAGCTTTCTTCAAGACACTTATATGCAGCCTCAATATCTGCATATGTATTTTGCTCAGATGGCTGCAACACAATAACAGGTCACAAATGAGACTTGAAAGATCCTATCATTGCATTGATATAGAATACAGTGTTGTTCTTTCATCAGAAGGAAAAATCCAACACACCTTTCCTGATGATTGACCGTAACCCGAATAATCGTACCTGCAAGGAGTAAAAGAGGCAGTGGTATCAGGAACAGTTGCTTCTTATTGTTTCAGGATAATGTTAGATTGCGTAGACACGACAAGATCGAGAACTACCATCGAACAAGAACACGAGATTCATGAGCTTTAGAAGTCAGAAAATCAAGAGATGAGCATGGGATTCACATAATTTCCTACCCGTGCTTGAAATAACCTATGAATTAACAAATTCCTTGAGGCAAAGGGTGTCATTGCTATGGCCTGCTTAAGATTTTATTGATTAAGATGATATGTTCATAAACTGAAACGAACATAGGGAAGATGATGCCCACAAATATGGAAGATCTACCAAAATATAACTCATAAAAAGTTGAAACAGAACTTAAGCACCACAAGTTGATGCTAAAGAAGTGAATCAAATTCTACAAGGAAACCAAGCAACAACAAGAAGTTCTCTGAGAATTACACCCTCCAACTACATCTCTTAAGTTAAACAAAATGCTAGCAATCAAAAGCATCAATTGAGAAGATCAAAGGGCTTAAACAGAGAGAACCAGATATCAAAACAGAGAGAACAGAAAGAAAGAAGTATGAATCCAAATGTTTAAGAAATGGAGAAAAGAAAGTACCCCATTAGATTAACACGCAGGTGAATGCTAAGCTCGATGAAGAGCTCATACATTTGGCCCAGATCGGCGGCGTTGCCATGAGAATAAAGTAGAGTCGAAGTTGCCATCGGATGCCGGACGTAGATTGCAACGATATCAGTGCTCCGGCGAGTGGGCAGTTTCAGAACTTCAACATTTTCGCGATGAGGGAAAGGGCTGAGAAGCAAAAGGCCAGTAAGATCATCGGTGATGAGCTTGTACGAAGGTGGGTTCGGCGGGAAGAAGGCGAACTTGGCCGCCATGGATGAGGTAACGCCGCCCATATCGCCGCCGGCTCAAAACCCAGAAAAATGTACAGATTCTACACTGAAAAAACGACTGATCAAATCGAATTTCCAGCACTCCTTTGGTCAACAACCCTTTGTTTTCCTTTTTCCAGACGATTCGATTCTTTTAGAGACAGTGGAAAAGAAGTACAGAGGATGTTCATCCAGTAACTACATCCTTGAAAGAATCAAGGCTTCACTCCCATGGTTTAGAGCGAGGAGGAGGGGGGTGGAATGGTGGACCAGAGCTCAGAGAAGGGTGTGGAGGTTGAATTATTTGAAGAGTCAGAATTCTGTACTCTGAGTGAAAGGGAATAATGGAGGACGCACAGCTCTCTGCTGATGCTTAATTTGGTCAAGAAATGGGCATTGCCATTTGGCTCCAACCATATCATGGCTCTCATGTTCTTCCTCTTTCATCTGGTACTCATTATTTAATTCAAAATCAAATTAATCATTCAATATACTGTAAAAATCAATAAATAGAGAGTGAGAGAGAAGAACAGAGCCATACTGGAATTTACAGAGAAGCTATTTTTAATGATATCAAAAAATTTGATCATCCATTGATATTATGTTGAACACTCCGATTAACGAATATATCCAACATATAAACGAAGATTTTGATCCATATTTATAGAGGATAGCTGAGTTGAAATCGAATTATTTATAAAGCCAGATTGAAGTAGTGATTTAACCAACTCCGTAACTACTATACTTCATAAATGAATCAATATTAGTAGCTAATGAAAAGAATTCATAAACACTTCCAGAAATTAAGCATTGAAGGATCAAGTGGGATACAACATTCATTAACACTGTTGAATGAAGAGCATTTCCCATTTTTCTCTTCTAATTCTCTTTTTTCCCTCCTTTTTTTGGTGTATGCCCTATAATTTATTTTTAACATTGATACAAAATTTTCACTACAATTATTCTCCTCTCCAAGGGAAATCGTAACGAAAAAACGTCTTTCCATTTCAAGCTTAACAAATTCAAATGGTTGAGAATTGTTCGATTAGGCAAATACACAAACATATCGATTCGTCGATGAAGGGGTGGAAAAAGAACTCTTCCTGACCTCTGAGGTCCCATCAGCTCCATCCTGATCAACTGCTGCAAAGGGTAAAAATCATTCTCAATTAAAGTGAAGAAAGCAATTCACAATAGGCATATGGGAAGGGAATGATTATTTCCTCTATCCAAATCATAGAGATAAAGAATGTTTACCAGCTAAATTTATCAAACTCAAATCACGCCATAAAAAGACTTCGACGATCATGATATGATATGATATATGCATGTAGTAGATGGAAATTTAGTCAAAACTAATCACAAACATTGATTTCCGGAAATACAAACATGTTTATGTTCCAGACCCCACAAAAAGTATTTCAAGAAGAAAAAAGATTAATCCAAACATGTCATGAATCATGATATCAGCCACACTACATGGGCCCAAAATTAAGGAGAAAAGCTTCAAATCAAGATCATAAAGCAAGCATCAACCTCTTGTGTTTGAAAATGACTAAATAACAACTAAATATAAAGGAAAAATCACTAGGAAGTAGAAACGAAGCTACAGGCAGAAAAAAAGGAAGTGGGGGTCCATGTTTTATGTAAAGAAAAGAAGTTGTGGGTCTCTGTGATTCTACCTCTCCTTTTTTGTTGTAGTGATGGGATGATGAGACATGTCCCCTATCAATGGCAGAGAATCTGGACTTTGCCTCACAGATTTCTTTGCTTGGTTCTGAAGGTTCAGGGTTTACAAAATACATCGAGTACGTCGATGGTCCGGTGTAACAGCTATATTAGTTTAGTTCAAACCAAGCAATTTTCTAGCCTAACAACATGTATGAGAAGACAAGGAAGTTGTCAAGTGGTATAACATGAAAAGAAGGAGGTGGCAAGTATATGGTCTACTTCACAGCTTAGTGATTGGGACAAGCCCTCTTCAATTACATCAAACAAGAATGACAATACATTCTGGAAAAGAAACCTTTCATATATATGTCACAGCAGCAGATAGAAAAACAAAGCATAATTGGTAATTGTTGTCACCTCCTGTCAATTATTACATCAATACACTCCCAACACCAATAATTGGTTCCAAGCATTGAATTCTTAAGCATTCCTGAGTTTTTGCCTCGATTTCAAAATTAACGTACATGGTTAATCACATTGAAGTCTACTTATGCTAATCTCAACTAATAAGTATCAGTTTACAAGGGATGTGCAACTTCCTATATCATCACGGCTTTTACCTAACCTGTGAAGCAATGATTTACCGAATTCTCAAGCTTATAACTCAATTTCAAAGTTCATATCAGGTCATTGTGGTATATGTATGCTACCTCGATTAACAAGCTACAATGGAAGTGCATCTTCCTACATTATCACATCCTTTTCCAGCCTGTGAAGCAACGTTTTGTATTAGAAGGTTGTCTAGTGTGTTTTCATCCATCAACTTTTCGAGTCTAAGTGGTAAGTATCCACCGGGAAAAATTTAAACTACTGCAAAATTTCAATATCTAAATTCTAGACAGTTTTTTTTTTTTTTTTTTTCTTATGAGAAATATGATTCTAGACAAGTTAAATTGAAGACAACTCAATATGAATGCCAATCAGAGTGCAGGACGAAGAAGGCTGCTAGAAGAATAAACTAAAGTCATATTTACCTATCAAAGAACAAATAGAACAAACTGTTACACCTTGCATACATACTAACTCATGACAGTGCAAACCAATTAGGGTATATCCGTTCGTATTCATTGTGTTCTGAGCTATGCCTATGTAATCACTTCCAAGATCCCAATGAAAAAGGAACTACAGTTAAAATACGAATCTCCAAATGCAATCCTCTTTTTTTCCTTCGGGGGAGGGTGGTTCGCGCTGAGGTAGAAGTAGGACAAGAGACTAAAGGTACCAGTCCAAAAAGAGAAGTCCAACATCAGAAGATATATCAGTTTTCAGTGAAATATTTGCATGGCCTAAAGTTTCAATAACGCTGTCCTTGTCAAAACAAAAATAAAATTCTCAAGGATATATCAATATTCCAGCACCATCCCTCTCCAAACCGCCAATCAAAGAGTATAAAGCCAGTTCAAAAGAATTCTATTTCTTTGAATTTTCTGAGTGAGCAAACTTATAAACATACACAAGAAGAAGCCATCTGTAGGCTCATAGATTAATAGATGATAACGTACAGAAAAAGAATACATTACCACCATTTGATTACCAGCAAAAGAGCAGCTTGTTAATTCAAGACAACAGTGTTTAATGGTATAACCAAAAAAATTAGGCATTACAGAGATTCAATGGGGAATAAGCTAGATAGCAACCCTTCATCTTACATCAGTACCAATTTTAGAACAGAAGCAAACAGAAAACAAAATCTGCAATATAACCCTACCAACAATGTATCATCACTATTTTACTCATATGAATCGTTTGGTTAACAGAACACTTCCAAACTTATTCCAGAAAATGAAAGGCAAATCTGTTCTGTAAAAAGCTTGCTTTGAGCTTGAAACAAGAATCTCAAAGAATTTGCCTCTAGAGAACAATAACAAAGGAAATTCTTTTAGCCCATTCTACAAGACTATAAAAATATATATAGTCTTACCAAATAAAGCAACTAAGTCTGTCTTCGGAGTCGCTTCCTAAGCTTCTTGTACTTATGCTTGTTCATCTTCCGTTTCCTCTTCTTCTTCACGCTATCGGCCCACAATTTCCTAGAATCATCTTGTTCAACAAACTCGGGCTCGAACGGAAGCATCCCAGATGAGGAGATTTGCGGCAAGCAAAACCCAAATGGAAAACTAGGGTAAAACAGGGAAAAGTGAGATGGATTCGAAGTAGAAACAGAGTTCAAATTAGAATCGCAATGCCGATCTGGTTTCTTATCAAAATCAAGCGGCTGGTGAAGAATGTAGGGTTTTAAGGGATTTTGTGAGGTCTGTGTACCCAAAGCAGCAATTAGTCTTGTTGGTGGCGATTTTCTGACGAGCTTTTGAAGCATCGACGCCATTGAATCGAAACGAAGCTTCTGAGACTGAATCTTTTAGAATGCTTAGGAGATGAAGATGAAAAACAGAAATGAACTCCGCAGAAAAATGGTGGAACAATCAGCGTCCCAAAACCCTAAGCAAATGTGAAGTACGCGGATGAGCGAAATTGTTTTTTTTTTTTTTTTTTTGGAACCAAATAAATTAATAATATCAGAAATTCATTAATGTTTTATATTCCAAAATTATTGTAACTAAATTTGAAATATATATATATATATATATATATATATATATATATATTATATGTACGTTCACGAGAATGAAACTAAAAAGAATTAACAGGGTCTGCACAAGAAGTGGAGCTTGTGGTTTAATTCGATGCAAAGTGAAGAACCTTATCGGGGCTTGACATGCCGCAAATCCTCTTGAAAGATAGGGGTGCCTTCAGGAACGTGGACACAAGTGGTGCATGACTGTTGTCAGCTCGTGTCGTAAGGTGTTGGGTTAAGTCCTGCAACGAGTGCAACTCTCGTGTTTAGTTGCCAACCGTTGAGGTTGGAACCCTGAACAAATTGAAAATACTGAAAACTTTCTCAATAGAACAGACGGGCAGTGGAGACTCATTTAACAAACAACAAGCTATGACTTTTACTAGAAAGGTCAAATGGAAGAGGGACTCTCGGGCAGTTGATTTAGGAGCTTCTTCTTTTTTCTACAAGTCAAGGGTTCCAGAGCTAAAAACACACCGACATCATTGTAATCGCCCCCGTCTAAAGCGGGTGCACGGGAGGGCAAAGCGCGAAACAAAAATCAAATAGCTAAAATGGATATCTACGCATCATCTAGGTGCATAGGGCTGATCTCGAGGAATAACTCGTGCATTCATCGTTTCCCTCAACAATTTTTTCTCATTCGAACCTTGTGTTGTGGGTTAGGTCACGTCGACGATATCCGTGATGAATAAACCCACGAGCAGCAGTGCTGTAATTGTTGTCGATCGAACGCCCGAGTTCGGGAAATTTTGGCTACATGCACATGAGAGGAGGTGACCTTAGGGACTAAAATATAAATTAAAATTTTATTTTTTTACGGTTTTAACATTTTAATCCAAAGAGAATAAAAAGTATATAAAATTTGCTCATATTTTCCCCAAATTATGAGGTGGCCCTCACCGTCTTCGTAGTTTTTCTAGAGTTTCCTCTTGCTTTCAATTCCGCTTGTGGAGGTTCAATTTCATCGACAATGGGAAGGCGATCCTTATGGGTTGCACTTCTCGTCCTCTCCCTTCTTCTTTATTCGCGGCCGCACGGAGTTTCTTCCACTCTTCCTCTTCAATCATTGAATCAGGTACTTATTTTCGTCTATGAATTGGAACTGTCTCTGTTAGATTCAAATTTTGTGAGATGGAGACCCGTTAATTCGTTTTGAAGCGTAACGTCGTTGATTGATTTCGTATAAAACGATGATTGAAATATTCCGTTCATTAGTGATTCATTTTAAATGCTCTAGCGTTTGATTTAACCTGATAATTTGCTGTAGAATGTTTCGATGTTTCGGCATTGAAATCCAATGGAAATTTGTTGATGGATTTCTATAAATTCATCTGGAAATCGAAGTATTTGAAGTTTTCTGAACCGTTCGTTATATTTTCGATCTCTTCTTATGTTCTGTTCAACTGGAATTGTCTGTTTCAATTTTTTAATTGTTGTGTAAATTGCAATTAATCGCTGGATGAACATCATTCTATGTATGACCTTCTTCGTTGTTGTTATTTTTCCCTAGGGTTCTAAAGATTCAGCCACCGAGAGGTAATATTTTGTTTCTTTATGATCACCTATGTTCCTTTTCTTAGTACAACAAATGGGGTAGAGGATTCGAACCTTTGACCTCGAGGAAGGTAACACATGCTAATTAAGCTAGGCCCACTTTCGTTATGATGATGATAATTTGTTGGGCTTTGGAATTGATGTTCAGCACTCCGAAGCAGGATTTGAACAATGCTCATGAGGTGCATTGCTCCAGAGAAAGGAGTAGGGCTGCGTGGAAAATAATTGAGGAGGTATTCATTCAACACTCGAATGGTGTTTCTTTGTATTTCGTAGTTGATTGGTTGACATGCTTGGTATGTATGATATGGTACTTTATTAAGCTAGATTCAAATGTTTTTATCTCGACGCAGTATCTAATGCCATTCATGGATAAAAAGCGATACAAGGTTTCTACTAAGTGTAGGCTTCACCCCGATAATGACATGTTCAGAGATCAAGAACAGCACAAGAGCCATCTAGATTTTAATGACTGGAAGTGTGGATATTGTAAAAAGAAATTCTACGAAGAAAAGTATCTCGATCAGCACTTTGCCAATAGACATTATGATTTACTCAATGTGGTAAGTTTCCATTCATGATTCAACGTCCAACAGTAGCGATGATCGTAGAACTTTTCTATTAAATCGTGGGCTTCCATTAGTTCACTGTGGATTATATTGCCATCTAGTCAATTATCTTGGACAAGTAGATATAACATGAGGCTCAAGTTACTATATGTTTAAGCTTCTTGCCAACATGAACATATCTCAGCGTTTTGCTTCTTCCCGTGAGACCGAAGGTTCACATCCCCCCCTTCACATTTGTTTTACTTCAAAAAAATATGTTTAGGCTTCTTTCTAGATATTAGATAGTTTGCATGGTCCTGTCTTTCTTGTATTCAGGAGCATATCCCTTAGAAATTAGAAAAAGCGTTGTTTGCTTCAGTTTTAGCTGATATGGCGCTTCATTTATCTTGCTCGTTTATTCCAGAGTCGAAGCAAGTGCTTGGCAGATTTTTGTGGTGCATTGCACTGTGACCGTGTGATAGATACAATATCACAGAAAAGTAAATGCAATCCTGCTGCTGCTGCAAGAAATAAACACATGTGTGAGGTGACATCAGAAGATTTCTTGCAGATTTCTTCATCATTTCCTCATCATTCACCACACAAATGTTAATTCATCGCAGGGTCTTGCTGACAGTTGTTTTCCTATCGATGACGGTGCCTCGGCCAGCCATCTTCACGGTAGCTTCAGAATTCTCCCTTCACTCATTTGACAACTTTCACTACTTCTATCATCTATCTAATGAAACACTGTTCGTGTAATCAACTGGTAGAATTCTTCTTACGTCAGTTCTGTGATGCACACACATGTAGCGGAAAGCCAAAACCTTTCTCGAGAGGTCGACAGGTAAGTTGTTTCATTGTATATATGTGTGTGTATGTATGTAGACATTTTAAGCTCCTTTCGATCAATTTCTTATGGTACATGTTCCAAGTATGCCGAGCAATCTTCAAGATATTCCATTGTTTTCTCTGTGATTTTGATTGACCCTCAAGATATCATATCATAATATCAACATGCCTTTGTGTTGGCAATGAACTATAATGCATATAATGTGAAGTAGGAATTGTTTGATCAAATCATCTTAAGTTTGTGTTTCACATCACATTCGTCAATTTATTCAAATCAAGTTCATCTGTCCGTTCATATTCAAACAGTCAACAGGAAAACAATTCAGACGATATTTTACGAATACATCACTTCTGTTTGAATAAAATTTCGAGGGGATGAACGTATAATGCATGTATGTATTCCTTTTTTTGCACTTCTCATTTTGTCAAATGCATTCTTCTGTTTGTTTGCAGGTTAGGACGAGTGTGTTCTACATTGTTATTTCAGTTTTGACAGTCATTTTTGTGCTGTTTTTCTACGTCTTCATTTACTTGTATAAGAGGTATCTTTCCTTCACCCACCTTCATTTGTATGTTCATAAAAGCTTCAACTTTGATTTGATGATCGTGTTCGTCTTACAGGGGAATGAGAACTCGACCTCAGGTGCTGAAACGCCTCTCAAAAAGTGGAGGAAAGAAAAAACCTTCATAGATAGAAGCTCTTGCCCTTTCAATTAGAATATGTTGATTTATTTACAACTCACTTATGAGAGGAAGAGAATGAGAGGGCAAAGCTTGTTCTTTGAATCAGTTTTCTTTCATCATCTGTACCTGTAGAACTCTCAACACGGACAGATTCAACTCCCAGAGGGGAATGAGATTTTTTGTATCATAACATTTGTTTGAGAAATATAACCATTTGTTTGAGCACTCATGGTTCATCCATTATTTTCCGTATTATCATTATCATTATGTTTTCTACTCGAGGTCTCACATTGGTTGGAGCGAGAACGAAACATTTTTATAAGTGTGAAAATCTCTCTTTAGCGACACATTTTAAAACTTTGAGGAAAACTTCTAAGAGGACAATATCTGCAAGCGGTGGACTTTTGGTTGTTACAAATAGGGTTGTTACAAATAGTATTAGAGCCCGACGCTGAGTAATATGTGGCGAGGATGTTGGGCCTCCAAAGGGGTAGATTGTGAAATCCTATATTGATTGGAGAGGAGAACAAACTCGTCTGCGAAGCATTTCTTATAAGGGTTCTCCCTATTATATATGAGCATTCCGTAGGGGTTCCTTATAAGGGTCTACAAGGGTATAGGGGTCTACAAGGGTACTTCTCCCTATTATATATGTTCTTAAAACTTTGAAGGAAAACCCTTGCACAAAAACCTTGAGGAAAAGTTTAAAGATGACAATATCTACCAGCAATGAGCTTGAGCGGTTACACTACTCGACTTAATAAAAAATATTGACATACTCGACTCAATAAAGAGAATATTGACATTACTGAGAGACAAGATAACTTTGTGGTTTTACACAATTGATCATTAAAACTTAACATCATGTGTAAATACCCCTCTATTTTATCAAGCATCTTCTTAACAAATCAATGGTCATAATCAAAATTTGTTAGTCAAAACTTAAGGACTAAGTAGCCAACCAACCATCGAAATACAAGTCCTAATTTGTAATTAAACTAAATTCATAGATAATCTTGCAAGGAGCAACACTAACATGTGTATTTCCATGCTCAGGTTCTTGCTTCACAGTCCAAGAGGTCTCAGATGATGCTTATAGTTCAACAATTGAATCTTTCTCCAACCTGCTCACGAAAGTTGATTTGTCCATCACTTTCTCTTTGGTGGATCTCGGCTCAGTCCATGCTTCTTTAGTGTTTTAACATAATTTCTCAAGAATGTAAACTTGTTGCTCCCCAGATGATAGAAATAATCCCACGAATAAATCCCAGTTCTATGCAAGTCATCAAAAAGGATCCTACCAAATTCAAGCAATATGTTTGGATTCTTCGAAGTCAATACCAAAAGATTGCTAAAGTTAATGGTAGCTAGTAATTTCAAAGTACCTTACCCCATAGTTCCCAACTGGTTCTGCAGACATGATACCGACGTGACGTCGTCCAGAAATTACCTAAGTTTGAAACATGCATTTAGTAATTGAATCTGATAAAACAAAATCAGTTAAAGCTCTAGATGATGTTGATAAATCAGTAGAAGGATCGGATCATGAGAACGTGGCTAAACAGAAAATCGTGCTAAATGAGCAGTTTGGCCAACCCTTGTGCACCCGTTATTTTATACTCCAAACTCTAGAATATGGCTAAAGATATCTCTATAAACCGATCGGGTCTGAATATCTTTAAGTCGGTGAAATTATTTACACTTGGTCCTAACCTAATCAAGTTCGAGTGTTCGAAAAGTTTATTGTTTTTTTTTTCAAAAGTACTTATAAAAGAAGTGTTTCACGGGCTGGGGCTCAAAGAGAAATAGTCCAAACCATAGAAGTCATCTATCTAGTTAGCTGTCTTCTAATAGTCAAAATGCATGTGAGATCGCAGGTTGATTGGAAAAGGGAACTTCTCTCTAGTAGACGCGTTTTAAAACTATGAGGCTGACGGCGATATGTAAAGAGTCAAAGTGGACAATACCTACTAGTGGTAGGCTTGAACTGTTACAAATGGTATCAAAGCCAGACACTGGGCGGTGTGCCAGCGAGAACGCTGGGTTCTCGAGGGGAGTGGATTGTGAGATCCCATATTAGTTGGAGAGGGGAACGAAACATTTCTTATAAGAGTGTGGAAACTTCTCCCTAGTAAACGCATTTTAAAATCGTGAGGCTGACGCCGATACGTAATGGGCCAAAACAGATAATATCTACTAGCAATAGGCTTGAGTTGTTACAGTGCAAGTCACGAATATCAAAAGGAAATGTTTCATTTAAAAGCACTAGCCTTAAAAATCATCCAACCATCCAATTTGGCTATTTGACCATTGCCCATGATGAATTAGCTAGAGTTTTAGATAGAAAGATAAATGAAACTAAAGTTGTTTTACAGTACCTTTTCACCCCCAATTGACCGAACCTTAGCATCAGCAGCTGGGCTATATACTCTCAAGAATTCAGCTGACAAGTTGAACACACTTCCATCTGCAAATTTAACCTCTACCTGAAAGTGAAACATTTAACGAACTGCATCATACTAAACAGTGTACGTGAAAAAGAAAAAACCATATTCACAAAATGAAGGCTAATAGCACATCAAAACATTCAGCAAAAGGAACTTCTAATGTAAGTTATGCTCCAAACCTAATTTCAAAGTCTATAAGAGAACATATATTGTGGGATCCCACGTTGGTGGGAGAGGGGAACGAAACATTTCTTATAAGGGTGTGGAAACCTCTCCCTAGTAGACATGTTTTAAAATCGTGAGCCTGACAGCGATACGTAAAGGGCCAAAGTGAACAATATCTACTAGCGGTGAACTTAGATGGTTACAAATGGTATCAGGGCCAGACGCCAGGCGGTGTGCCAGCGAGGACGCTGGCCCCCAAGGGGGTGGATTGTGAGAGCCCACGTTGGTTGGAGAGGGAAACGAAACATTTCTTATAAGGGCGTGGAAACCTGCCCTTAGTAGACACATTTTAAAATCGTGAGGCTGACCAAAGCGGACAATATGTGCTAGCGGTTTCATCCTTGCAAGTCTCCACCTCCCATTGTCTTCTTCTGCCCCCTTTGATAGTATAAATCAACCCACTTTTTGAAGCAAACCCTTTCATCAGCTAAATACCACAGTTTTCACTAGAGATTAACCCATGCACCCCCAAAGAAGTGGTCTTACCTTTACCACTTCCCAAACCCAACTAGCCATTCCCCCGCATGCACCAACTCCACCAAAAACCGCACCATCGAGCTATCCAACCATTAAAGCCTATCGTACCACCACCGAACACTCTTACCAAGCGACATGTACATCATCCCATTCCTAGCAAACATTCCCCTGCTTCATCCCTCCCTCTCTGCCACATGCATCAATCTTTTCCCACACCTCTACACGCTCCGAAAATCCCATTTGGTCCCCATTGACCCAGACTAATTCTTGAGGTCACACATTTCTGAAGTGGTCACATAAATCTTATTCAAGCAAGTTAGGCCAACTTACCCATCTATCATTTATCCCCTTTCCCATCCTCACAAAGATCTCGGCATCCATCGAGAGACTATTTCGAAACTTCTAGTGTGGAAGGGCGACAAGGAGAAGAAAGGTACACACAATCTAGATTGAGAAACAATCAAGCTCCCCGAGAAGGAGGAAGGAGGATTGCAGATCTAGAACAGAAAAATACTTCCTTGTTGGTTAAGTGGATTTGGAATTTCATAAGGAAAAATATGCGCTTAGGAGGAAGATAATTGCCTTGAAATATGGCACCCACCATTTTGAGCAACAGGAGACCACATCATCTGCAAGGTAGGGAAAGGAGATGGCACACCGTTTTGGTCTGATATTTGGTTGGGAAATAGGGCCCTAAAAGACAAGTTTACCTCTATGTTTGCTATCATACAGAAAAAAGAAGCCTCAGTGGCTAATTTATGGAATAATTCATTGCCTTCTTGACATTTTTGGCCAAGGAGAAACCTGTAGGTAGGGAAATAGAGGAATGGACCAGCCTAGATGCTCTTGCCGTCGTTGTTCTCGATGATACTAACGATTTTTGGTCCTGGAATTTGGAAAAGGATGGGGCTTTCTCATCAGAATCCCTTTCCAAGTTTCTATCCTCAGCTGGTGATCATGATATAAACGACCTATACCTTTCCATTTGGAAAGGAAATTTTCCTAAGAAGTAGAAGTTTTTCCTTTGGGAACTCAACCACTCATGCCTTAATACTCGCGACAAGCTGCAAAGAAGATCTCCATGGATTAATATCTCTCCTAGATGCTGCATTTTTTACAAATATGATGAGCAAACACATAGTCACCTTTTCATTAGGTGTAAACAGGCTAGATCTTTTTGGGAACACATCCTAGTGGCTTTTGGTTGGCAGACTGCCTTATCTAATGAAATTTGGGATATTCTCTGAGACATGTTCATTGAGCGGGTCTCTTTCATGGGCAGGACATCAAGTACACGTATCTTTACCGATCAACCAATTTATTGCACATAAGAATAGTTTTTTGTAATCTATTGGATTTGATTCCATCATTTTGTAATTTTATTTTACCATTGAAATATATTTCTGGTATATTAACTTATTAGGATAATGAATGACTTGCTAAGAACAGCCAGCTATCATTTCCATTTCCATTTCCTTAACATGATGGACCTTTCCAGATAATTAAGAAGGAGCAATTCTGATTCAAATCACCATTTTATAATCATGAAAAAGGAAATATAACGGGCAGTTCTGATTCAAATCACCATTTTAAAATCACAAACAGAAAACCAGAAATCAAAACCCGAGAATGGATCGATATAACGAGCACACTGAACCAGAATCGAAATCAGATGGAAAATCCAACGAAGATTAGTAGGGAAAAGGCTTACATATTTTGAAAGGAGAAGGAGCAATTCTGATACAAATCACCATTTTATAATCATGAAAAAATAAATAGAACGGACAGTTCTGATTCAAATCACCATTTTAAAATCACAAACAAAAAACCAGAAATCAAAACCCGAGAATGGATCGATATAACAAGCACACTGAACCAGAATCGAAATCAGATGGAAAATCAAACGAAGATTAGCGGGGAAAAGGCTTACATATTTGGGGGCGCGAAGAGCGAAACTGGTAACTTGCGGAGCATCAACGGTGGTATGGATCGTCCGGAAAGCCCTTTGCAAAGCTAACATCGTCTCTCTGATTCGTTTGGCCGACTGATTTTGGTTCGAGTTTCGCGCCTAACTGCTGTGCATTGGGTTCGAACCACGGCCTCTTAACTTTTCTCAACAATTATTCTGTAATTATTATATAAATATTTTGGAAGATTTTCAAATTATTTCTAACTATTAATAATAAAACTAATTTTTTTAAATGATTAAAAAATTATAACACCATGAGTTTGGGTTAAATTTGTAGGTGGTTGTGAATGGTCAAAAATATTATTTTTTTATAAATAAAAAATATTATTTTTTATAAATAAAAAATATATTTTAAAAATGAAAAAAAAATAATAATTTAGACTTTTGATTCCATTTAAAACCAACTAAAAAAATACCTAAATAAAATTATTATTCTCCTCCAAAAATAGGAAGAAAAAAAAAATTATATAGTTTTTTTTAAATAGAGAGAAAAAATAAATAAATAAATAAATATATATATATATATATATATATATATATATATATATATATATATATATATATATATATTGATCTCGTGTCAGTTGGGGAGAGAAATGAAACATTCTGTGAAAACATATTCTTAGTGGACGGATTTTAAAATTTTGAAGGGAAGTTCGGAAAGAAAAGCCTAAAGATGATAATATCAGTTAGTGGTGGACTTGGTCGGTTAAAAAGCGGTCCCTGTATTTATATTAAATTGCAAGGTGAATGATGGAGTACACCCCATTTGAACTTTTGCTTTAATATTGGGGATAAAATAGAAAAAGGTTGGGAGGTTAGGGACTATTTAGCAATTAAAATAATATTTGTGAATGTAAAGAGAAAAAGGTTCAATAATTATTAAAGCTGACGTGGAATGATTAGAAGAAGTAAAGGTGATATTCTTAGCAGACAAAACTATTCCATCATTTTGCCTTTTGCCCCCAACAATTCTATTATTTTGGTTTTTGCCCCAACTATTCCATCATTTTGCTTTTTGACCCCTCACCTTCTCTCATTCACAAACCAAATTTGAAGTAAGGTTGAAGTTACTTTCACCCCATCATGAATGAAATCATGGGAGTTTTGTTTGATGAGAATATATTGTCCTTTTTTTTTATTATTATTATTTAGTTTTTATTTTGAAATTAAACGGGCCGAGCGCCCGCCCGCCCACCTGGCTGTAGTATACGTGATAAAGGTATCTATCGAAATTAAAAAGAAAGGATACCCTAATATCCGAAAGAAATGACCATGTAAATCCCCTCTATGCAATATTCAGATACCATTTGTAACAGCTCAAACCCACAACTAACAGATATTGTTTGTCGTTAGCCTCACGGTTTTAAAACGCGGCTGTTCGAGAGAGGTTTCCATACCTTTGTAAGGAATGTTTTGTTTCCCTCTCTAACCGATGTGAGATTTAGGTTGAGTTGAATTCTTAGACATTGAAACTCAACCAACCAACTTGAAAATAGGATTCACAACTCGACTCGTCGATACTTTTAAAAGTTGGTATCAGATGTTAGTGATGTGTTGTGACTGTGAATGTGAATGTTAGATATTTGAATGGTACATGTACTGTGGATAAATATTTTTTTTTAAATAATTAAAAAAGTATACAACAACGATCCAACCCGATTCATCTCGAAAATAGAGGGTTGGGTTGTGAACCCTATTTAGGTCATTCGGGTCATCAATCCATCGAACCCAGTTCGTGTAACTTGGTCAATATTCCTATTAATAAAATCTAATGGACTGTCGTGTCAACATTTCATTACTGATCAAATATAATTTTATGTGAAGATTCCATCGAAAAGTGATTATTGATTAGGATTAAATATAAACAAAATTCAAGTTTAGAAAGCATATAATTCTTTTTTTAAAAAAATTAAGAACTAAATAAATACATGTAATTTAATCCGTGACATTTTAATATAAAAATATCTCATATAATCCTTATTCAAATTGATTTGGGTCCCTACATGTCTAGTTATTTGTATTCCCAACAAGAACAACCCTAGCTCTTCCCTACTCGAAATCATTTTGTTCGAGAAAAATATAAACATAAAATTTTAAAATGATTTGAACGGTGTACAACTAAACATCAAAATGATTTATTCCCGAACGCTATTCCCTCGACTTACTTAACAAACTGAAATACTTCGACCAAAGATACTTCCTTTAGAACACTCTCAACACGTGTTTAGGGATTGTACGTTTTTTTAGAATCAAGTCTTACGATATCCGATACTTGAAAATATAAATTGCCCTCAACATAAATCTCAAAAACTCATATTTCATGACACCAAAAACTCTCGAGATGCCTCTTGTAAGGGCATCTTAGAATGTTCGGGCATCTTATAAAACAAACGAAATATTCATCGCCAATTCACTCGAGAAAATGAACATTTTCCCACATTAATATCAAGCTTTATATGCTCCTATTTGGACAAGCATGTGTGATTATTGAGCATGACAATGAAAGAAAAAGGTAATTACAGCCATTCAAAGAACTGATGAAATATGACCCAAGTTCACAATGTGGAATAAATGTAAGCTTTAGAGAAAGAGAGTTTAGTGAGAGAACGTATCGACAAAGTAGCCACTGCTGTTCCCGAGCGAGTAAATATCGTCCTCTTCGAGCTGATTGAACTTTGGAACGCCATCATCCCATGAAGGAAGTGAATCCAAACTATCAAACTGTACAGAGTTCGGTTTCATAATCGATAGAGATTCATTCATTGAAGAACAATACTCCAAGGAAAGCGACGCGTGGCTGTCGGTTTCTAATTGGCCTGTCCACATTTCATATCCAATGCCTTTGCACACCAGATTACTTGAACCACCTGATATCATATGAGCTGCCACTTGGTTTATTTCCTTTGTCTCGAAATCTAAATTTGGCATTGCCTCTTGTTTTCTTAATGGATTTGATGCAAAAAACAGCTTTTCTTTCAGTCTATCTGTTTTTTCAGTAAGTCTTTTGTGTGTGGATGGATCCAAACCAAGTTGCTTCAATCTCTTCTTGATTCGAGTGTTCCAATGGTTCTTGATTTCATTATCCGTTCGGCCCGGAAAATGTGCTGCGATTTTCGACCACCTGTAAGAGTTAGCGTAAAACAGTGTGAATTTGGTTTGTAGATTTGAAACAAAAAGGAGAAAAACGAAATGAAGTCTGTTTCATTTCATTACCTGTTACCAAGAAGAGAATGAAGGTGAATGATTTGATTCTCTTCCGTTTCTGTGAAAGCACCTCTCTTGAGATCGGGCCTCAGGTAATTGATCCATCTTAGTCTGCAACTCTTTCCACATCTTAGCAAACCTTCACCATAGAAAAGAAAATGGTCCGTAAAAAATCTCGGGTTTGTTCGGGAACTGTTTAGAATTCGATAAAACATACCCATGTGGTCGTTTTCTAAACGTTGTTTCTTTTAATATGTTTTCACCGATGACTTTCTTTTTAGAACATTTTGTTCTTCATTTCTTAGAGCATGATCCTATGAATGGTATATATGGATGATGATTTCAAGTCATTTTGAAGACAAAAAAGTAAGAAAGTTACTTTTAAAAACAAACGCTAAGGGAAGCTTTTTAACATGTTGTTTAGTTGACTACCTTTTTTTCGCACCTAGTTTCACTAGAGGTCTATTTTCGTAGAATAATAGATATAAGACATTGTTTCTTATAAAACTATATGATCTTGAACCGTCACAATCAACTCGACACTCAACTACACTTCTTAAAAACAGCATTCAGATCCCATTCGACGAAACGAGCAAACAAACAAACTCGAAATTTAGAAACAATGTTATGTAGAACTGGTTAGCAACGAGAAGGAAGAAAATACCTGCAAGTTTAGGCACCAATCTCCAGCAATGAATTCCATTGTTGAGGATGAAGTTCATGAGCTTATGATCTTCCTCGACAGTCCAGGGGCCTCGTTTCAGTCCGACCTTGTCGCAGCATGGCTGTCGTCCCATATCTCAATATCGATGGAAGCGAATGAAATAGTTTGCATGAGTTTAATGCCATGGAACTGATGCTTAAAAAGGAGCTAAGGAACTTTGACAAAGATGGTGCCAGTTCACTGAAACATATAAAAAAAACAAAAGAAAAAAGGAAGGATGTTGTGTAAAAGGGTGATAAATGATTGAAATGGAAAAAAGCATTCAAGTCCAAAGAAAAGAAAGGCATGGAGCAGTGTGATTATTGAATAGCCAAACCACAAAACACCTCTCTTATTCTAATATTAGTTTAAAGAACCAAATCCAAAACAGATATGCCACAAAGATTCCTTTCTCTTCTTCAAGGCTGGCCACTTTTGTTTTTGGAAGACAACTCCTAAGTGTCTTTAATTCTATTTTTAACTATTATCTTTCCTGGAAAATTCAATGTTCATAAGAGTCAATGAGATTAAATTTTGATGCCATTTGAGCCCAAAACGCTGGAAACTTGACTTCTGGGTATGTGATCTATCCATTGTATTCAAAAGTTTCTTAGATTTCCAAGAGAAAAATTGATTGCTCATATGATTTTGAGGAAAAAAAACACTTGAATTCACTTGGGTTTTTTGAACTTATGCAGTTTCTAAGATTTCTAAGATTTCTAAGCTTGAATTTTCAGGAAAATCCATCATTCCAATTTGATTGCTGATGCAACTTTGAGCAACGAAATGAAAAAAACTCAAATTCATCAGGGTTTTCTTTGATCATTCAAAAGATAAGCAAAAGTTCCTCAGATTCACAAACATGAATTTTCCAGGAAGCGGAAATTTGATTACTGATGCAATTTTGAGCAAAGGCAACACCAGAATTCACTTGGGCATTTTATCATACACTTTATGGGCAAAAGTTCATCGGGTTTCCAAGCTTGAAAAATTCATCATTCCAAGAGGAAATTTGATTACTGATGCACTTTTGAGCAAAGCCAACACCAGAATTCACTTGGGCATTTTATCATACACTTTATGGGCAAAAGTTCATCGGGTTTCCAAGCTTGAAAAATTCATCATTCCAAGAAGGAATTTGATAAAAAACAACAACATAATTCACTCTGGTTTTTTATCATTCATTTCATAAGCAAAAGATCCTCAGAGTTCCAAGCAAGAATTTTACAGGGCA